CCTGTTCGTGTGACACCGCCCGTCCCGGGATGCTCTGCCTGTGCCAGGGCTGGGATGCTCTGCCCGTGCCGGGATGCTCTGCCCATGCTGGGATGCTCTGCCCGTGCCGGGATGCTCTGCCCGTGCCAGGGCTGGGATGCTCTGCCTGTGCCGGGATACTCTGCCCATGTTGGGATGCTCTGCCTGTGCCAGGGACACTGCCCATCCCAGGAGGCTCTGCCATGTGCTGGGGAGGCTGTGCCCATGCCAGGAGGCTCTGCCCAGGGCACAGGGATGCCCCAGGCCATGCCACAGCCCAGCAGCAGACGGGGCTGACGTCCCCCCTCGCCCGCAGGAGTTCAGCCACCCCGTGGAGAGCCTGGCCCTCACGGTGGAGGAGATGATCAACGTGCGCAGGGTGCTGGTCAAGGCCGAGATGGAGAAGTTCCTGCAGAGCAAGGAGCTGTACAGCAGCCTGCGGAAGGGGAAGGTGGGAGCAGGGGCCGGAGGGGCCGAGCGCCGCCCGCCCGCGGCTCTCACTTTTTTTCCACCCCGACCCCCAACACCCCCATCATGGCCATGAGCGTCACTGTCACCATCACCTGTCCCCACCCTGACCTCTCATTGTCACCTGTCCCATTGATGGTGGCCCTGTCCCCATTGACCATGTCCCCATCCCTGTCCCAGTCCTTGTCCCCGTGTCCCCATCCCTGTCCCCATCCCCGTGTCCCTGTCCCCATCCCCCTGTCCCCAGGTCCTTGTCCCCCTGTCCCCATCCCTGTCCCTGTCCCTGTCCTCGTCCCCATCCCTGTCCCCATCCCTGTCCCCAAGTCCCTGTCCCTGCCCCATCCCTGTCCCCATCCCCATCCCACCCTGATGCCCGCGCCCGGCAGATGAAGATGCCTTCCAAGAAGCTGGCTCACATCCCTGTCTACGCGCTGGGCTTCGAGAGCCTCCCAGGCTCGCTGCTGGCCAAAGCCCTGCCACTGCGGAGGAGAGAGACCTTCCAGTGAGTCCCGCGGCCCTGAGCCTTCCTCCCCCCTCCTCCTCTCCATGGGGCTGGGGCTGATGGTCTGCCCCATGCCACAGCTCACTCCCGGGCACGTGCTGGCGCCGGGTGGAAGAGGAGTTCCCCCACATCTACGCCCAGGGCTCCGTCCTACGCGACGTCTGCAGCGACT